TGAAGAGTAATTTGCTCAGCATAGGGCAACTGGTAAAAAAGAACTACAAGGTATCGATCAAAGACAAGATGATGAGAGTTCTCGACTCAGGAGGAAGTTTAATCTTGAAGGCTCTTAATGTGATGGAGCATAAGTGCCTTGCAACTGCAACTAGTAGAGATGAATGAATATGACATTATAGACTTGGCCATCTTAATTTCAAAGACATCAGAGATTTAAAGAGAAGAAATATGGTTTAAGGATTACCAGAAATCGACATCCCAAACAAAGTATGTGAAGAATGTGTGCAGGCAAAGCAGCACAAGAACAACTTCAACAAGAATGCAAGAAGCAAGTCGAAGGTAATTCTTGAAATCATATACTCTGATGTATGTGGTCCTATCCAGGTGGATTAGATTGAAGTTAGAATATACGTTGTCACTTTCATAGATGATTTTAGTAGAAAATTGTGAACTTACCTGATCAAGAAGAAAAATGGAGTGATCGAGGTATTTGCCAAGTTTAAATCTATGGTCGAAAGCTAAAGATTATGAGGACCGATGGTGGTGGGGAGTATGTGTTGAAAGATTTCAATGCATTAAGTGAGAAATAATGGATTGTGAATTAGGCGGTGCCACCATACACTCAACAGCAGAATAGAACTGCAGAAAGAAAGAATAGAACCATCATGAATATGGTGAGAAATATGTTGAAAGGCAAGCATCTAACCAAATAATTATGGGCAGAAGTTGTGTCGATTGCAACATACGTCTTGAATAGATGTCTGCGAAATGGCTAGAAGGAATCACACTAGAAGAATATTGGTCTGGTGTCAAGCCTAGCCTAATTCATTTGAAGGTGTTTAGATCTATAGCACATAGGCATGTGCCAGATCAGTTGAGAAGAAAAGTTGATGACAAGTCGAGTCAAATGATCCTAATAGAATATCATTCAACTGAAGGATACAAGTTGTTCGACCTAGTGAACAAGCAAGTAGTGATCAGTAGGGACGTGATTATAGATGAGCTTAAGGAATGAGATTGGACTGATAATGTTAAGAAGGATTCAGTGAGAATCTTATGTGAAGAACCAGTTGGTGAAATCGAAAGACAAGTTCAACAAGAAGAAGTCAGAGGTGAAGTAGGCCCAAGCAGACCTCAACGAACAAGATACATGCATGTAAGGTTGCAAGAATATGCGATTACATCAGATGATGTGGTCAATGAAGAAGGTGAGATGATACACTATGCTTTCTACGCAGATGTCAAACCACTCAATGAAGCTGAGGCATTGAAATATTTGAAGTTGAAGAAAGCAATGAATGAGGAACTAGAGTTCATCGAAGTCAACAACACTTGGTCACTTGGTGAATTACCTAAAGGCAAGAAGGCGATTGATGTGAAGTGGATATACAAGATGAATTTGAATCCTAAAGGTGAAGTAACTCGACACAAGGCGAGACTTGTGGCGAAAGGATTTCTTCAGAAAGAAGGAATCGACTTCGATAAAGTTTTTGCACCTGTTGCTAGGATCGAAACAATCATGTTAGTTGTTGGTGTAACAAATATGAACAATTGGCACATATGTCAGATGAATGTGAAATATGTATTCTTTAATGGCCCCTTAGATGAAGAAGTTTATGTTGCATAACTAGCTGGGTTTGTGAAACAATGCGAAGAAAGAAAGGTGTACAGGCTACATAAAGCCCTGTATGGACTTAAGCAAGCTCCAAGAGCTTGGAATAAGAAGATAAATAACTTTCTAAGGGAGAAGAAATTTGTGAAGTGACAACTGAGCATGGAGTATATGTAAGGAGAAGCAATATTGAATTGCTTATACTATGTCTCTATGTCGATGACCTATTAATAACAGGTTTTTGCAAGAAGTTTATGTTGCAAGAAGTTTATGTTGCATAACTAGCTGAGTTTGTGAAACAGTGAGAAGAAAGAAAGGTGTACAGGCTACATAAAGTCCTGTATGGACTTAAGCAAGCTCCAAGAGCTTGGAATAAGAAGATAAATAACTTTCTAAGGGAGAAGAAATTTGTGAAGTGACAACTGAGCATGAAGTATATGTAAGGTGAAGCAATATTGAATTGATTATACTATGTCTCTATGTCGATGACCTATTGATAACAGGAATTTGCAAGAAGGATACCGAAGACTTCAAACATGACCTAAGTGAGGAGTTTGAAATGTCAAACTTGGGAAATCTCTCATATTTCATTGGCATCTAATTCTACAAATTGGAAGAGGTTTGAAGATGCACCAAAGAATATATGCAGGCAAAATACTCAAGATATTTGAGATGCAAGATTGCAACCCAACTTCGACTCTAGCTGAGCCCAAATTGCAACTACCGAAAGAACCAAATGAAGATGATGTCGGCCCAACCAGTACAGAAGACTTATTAGGTTATTAAGATACATTTGTCATACAAAGCCCGATCTAGCATACAATGTGGGTATGACGAGTAGATTCATGCAGAAGCCAAATGTATCACACGTAGCCGCAACAAAGAGGATACTAAGATATCTGAAAGGAACTCTCGACCATGGCATTTTGTTCCCTGCAACTGATGAAGGAAAAGAATGCAAGTTAGTGGGATACACCGACTTATGTTGGTGCAGTGATGCTAAGGATAGAAAATCCACAACTGGTTATGTGTTTATGCTAGGTGGTGCACCAGTTGCTTGGAGTTCAAGAAAGGAACAAGTAGTGACATTGTCGTCGTGTGAAGCAGAGTACATAATTGCTTCTCTATGTGCATGTCAAACAACGTGGATGGTGAACCTAGTCGAAGAGATTACATTAACAAGTCATGAAGCAATTACCATGAAGATCGACAGCATGTCAGCTATCAATCTGGTGAAAATTTTGATAGCACATGGACGAAGCAAGCACATCGAAATGTGGTTCCACTATCTTCGTGAACAGGTAGCAGAAGGGAATATGAACTTGGAACACTGCAGAACTGAGAAGCAGATTGCAAATATAATGACAAAAAAAGTGCAAGTCGAAGTGTTCAAGAAGATAAGGTCTATGATGAATATAGAGAGTTTAGAAACAATGAATTAGGTGATGTGTTAAGAATGTAATTTCTTGTGTCGAAGCATGTAGTGCTCGACAGAAACAAGGATGTGTCGAAACTTGTAGTGTGTGTTGAGTTGTGTTAGATGACGAAGTGTCAGAGCAGGTTGCTTGACACATGATTTTTACTTAGACAAAAATATAAATTTTGAGCTTTTGTAATTTTTGAGCTTTAGCTTAGGGAGCAAATTAACTCAATTATAAGTAAAGGGAGTAATCTCTATTCTTGTAATAACTTGAATTCACAAAATTTTATAGTTGCAAAGTGAATAAGATTTCCACAGTTTGTGAGTAAAGAGTTACTCTACATAAATTATCTTCTTCTTCAATTTTTGCCAAACCCTAATCTTATTTCTTATTCAAACTTTCTTTTTCTTCCATTAACAATTGTTGCGCAAAATCATTCTTGCAATCAAAATGTAATTGTTTCACTTGAGTAAAGTATGAAGAACAAAGAATTTTGATCGATTGATTAAACCTTGTTTATTAAGATTGATTCAGAATTTTCAAAATTTTTGAGTTAATTCCAACATTGATTGTGGTTTTAACAAGAGTTCATCTATTAACACTGCCATTTCAAGCAACACATATTGGAATGTAAGAGATATTCATTCACGAGGTACTTGCGACTTTTATTATTTACTTGTTTTATCACATATTCCCTCAGTTTTATAATGAGTGATCCAGTTGACTTTTTCACACCGATTAAAAAAAATGAATAAATTAATGAGAGAAAATGATATTTTTACTAAAGTACCCTTATCATGTATTGGGAATGATGAAAGTAAATATTAATTAAAAGGTAAAATTGAAAAAGATACATTAAAAATTAAAATGGATCATTTATTTTAGAACACTAATTTATTTCAAATGAACCACTTATTGTTGAACTAAGGGAATAATAAATAATTTTAATGTGAATTTGATCATCTTAGTTCTGACTTCAATGCTAATTTCAAGTATCCTAATGATAAGTTGCAGCTAAAGTAGCAGTGTATTTTTCAATTTCAGAGGATTTAATCTGTTAGTTAGAAGTGCGTGTATATTACCAAAAGTTTGTAGTTTTTCAATTACTACCAGCAAGATGCATTCTCTATGAGATTTGGTTTATGAGTGTATTTACTTTAATATATTACTTACTATTTTTTCTAGGATCAAGTAAACATAAAATGTTGTTTTCTTCAGGGTTACATCTTTGTTAATGTATTTTAGTTGTACTTTCCTTTACATAGTTTTGTTCTCTGTTTTACATCTTTGAAAATGAGAATATTATAAGATGAATTTTTTTATGTGTAAGCATGAGAAATTGAATTTGATAGGGCAAGTTCTAATTCCAAATCTATTAGGGCTCATGCTGATTTTACAAGAGGAATTATCAGTGGTGTTAAATTGAGGGACAAATGTACCATTATGATAAATGGATTTGTACTGGAAAAAATAAAATGCAATCAATAAAATTTTAAAATATTAAATTTTATGGATTTAAGAAAGAAGATTAAGAACAATGACCAAAATATCTAAAATATCATTTAAAATAACATTTAAATTACATTATTTATCCAACATAATATTTAAAATAACATTTAACATAACATCCAAAATATCAAGAAAATTGCATTCAACAAAACATATCTCAAATATAATGATAATAACTCATAAGCTAAAGGCTTAAACATGCCATATACATTTAACATAACACTCAAAATTTTGAGAACATCTGTATCCTAAAGGTATGATATGACCTTTACATCAAAAAAATATTCAAAAAGCATAGCATGTCATTAACATTCAAAACATCATGAATTTGATCTGGAGTTGAGGACGCACAACCGATCAATTTGGTGCTGGATGACACATTTTTGGTGTTGGCATAAATTTCTTTGTGGATTGAGCCATGAAGTTCCTATTTATGGTAGTGGTAGAAAAGGTACTTCAAAACATGGAAGTGGTCCTATCAAGTGCTTGTTTGCTCCTTATTCCACTTCCCTACATCAACATAATACACACAATATTAGTCAATATAATATAATAGTTTCTTGATTTTATAATGTACAACTAATGAAGAAGATTGTATCTTGATTTTATAATGTACAACTAATGAAGAGGATTGTAGAAGGTCTTGTGTGAAATATAGAAGGTGACAAGACTAGGAGTATCGTGAGTTGGAAGTGTCATTGTAATAAACAGAAAAACTAAGAATGATGTCCATTCAGTACCCAGATATCACAGGTGAAGTACTAACAGCAAATGACCAAAACCTTACCCCAAATAAATTTTGAATTTTGCGAAAAATTCGTGCACGAAAGAAAGCTGGAGCTACACCACGGCCAATTTTTGAGACATGCTTACGCGATTCATCCTACAAAAAGAAACCATTAGACAACGTTTCATCGTCTGATTATTAATATATTCAAAATGATTGCCAATAGTCCATGATCAATGAGTTTAAATATAACTAGCACTTACTTTGGGCAGGGTGCCTAGTGAATGAACTGTAACATCTTGTTCATGCAAATTTTGTACAAAGGCATGTGTTAGAAGCACAGCTGCGGATGGTCGATCTGCAGGATTCCTTCTGAAACACTGCTCAAGGAAATCCTGCCCTTCTGGCGATAATGTCTCGGGTATGTCCGGGGATCTGTTCAGTACCTTGAACACGAGTTGGTGCTAATAGACAGAATACAAACAAGCCGTTAAAGATGAACTGGTATTTGCAATCCAGGACTACAATAGGTTAACAAGCATAGCAAAGATGCTCACCCCTGAAAGCTCGCTCCATGGGGATTTTCCTGTCAGCATTTCAATGATGGTGCATCCTAAGCTCCATATATCAACAGCCGCGGTGACCTCGGAATTGGTTTTTTTCATCAAGGCAGCCGTCATGAGCTTCAGTAAAACAAGTTAATGTTAAAATGGGACATGTCATCTAACACTCGACGTAATAAGGGTAACAAAATACCTCTGGTGCCATCCAGTAGGGACTGCTTTTCGGCAATAGTTCATATGATTTCTCTGTCAGCTAAAAGGAGCACAATGGTCAAATAATAAGATGACCAGAAAAGTCAAGAAAACAAAACAAAAAATCTCTGGATTCAATGATAATCTAATTATTACAGCTATGGCAAAAAAAATAACATTTGTAAATTGAATGACTAGAAGAAAATTTGTATATGTTCATATATAATTAAAATGTGAATAGAAAAACAGAAATTGAAACTCACAGTTTTGGACACCCCAAAATTCGCAAGCTTGACAATGCCTGATGGATCAACTAGCAAGTTTGCAACTTTAATGTCCCTAAAGAACCATATAAAGAAATGGCAATCAGACTTTATTACTGAAAAATCAGACTAAACAAATGTTCTATCAGCAGACATAGTTGTTACATGTGGATAGTCTCGGTGCTATGTAAGTACGACAATCCAGAGAGAATATGCCTAGTAAAATTGCGAACCACGGATTCTGTCAAAGCCCCATTATTTTCTTGCATAAACTTCTGAAGTGATCCAGGATTGACATATTCCATATATATGAGCAATCGATCAGAAACCTGAAAACAAAGATGATTCAGTCATAATGATTTCTGTTCAAGCATACTTGGGAAGGAAGGGGACAAAACAACTCACTAATTCACTGCCATAATATTGCATGACGTTGGGGTGGTGTAGCTGACCAAGAGTCCTGATTTCCTGGCCGAGTTGCTTTATATAGATAGCCGATTTAGGATCACCAGAAGACAGATCACCAGAAAACAGATCTACCTCTTTCAAGGCACATGAGGCTCCAGTCTCTCTGTTAGAAAAACAGGAATGCACATTAGTAACTGCAGAAAGGGGAAACTTTAAATTAGATTAGACTCAACGAACAGAAAAATGTGTGCATACAGGTTTGTTGCATGATAAACACTTCCAAACGATCCTCGTCCAATTAGTTTTCCTTTCTGCCACTGACTCTTCATTGAATGAGAAATTTCTGTTGAGTCATGTTGCGCGGATGATTGCTGTGGCTGTGGTGAAGCTCTTGGTGGAGGTGGAAGGGGCAATGGGTGTGCATCTGCAGCGTTATGGTATTTAGGACTGTGGTTCCCCAAGCTACGCGAACTATGAGCATTTTTCGCGGGAGGTCTCCAAATGTCGTTAAAATCTTGAGGAAAATTGATGGCAGGATCGGATAAATTTCCGCTGCTTAATCTGCCGGAACTAGTAACAGGACTGGAGAATATGCTTGTTGGGGTACTTCTAGCAGCAAATTGCAACTTCCCGTTGGTAACACCTTCACAGTCATTGTCATGAGAGTGTTTTCTAGTATCTTTACTAGAGCTGTTGTTGGCTGTAGAAAATAACACGAGAAAGGTAAAAATAAATATCTCCTACATAATTCGTGAGATTGTTGAAAAAAATTGGAAAAAGAACTCACTTTCCACCAAGCTACTAATCGGAGGAATATTCACTCTCAAATCAATCTTTGCATTTCCAGCCAATGTGTCAAAATTGCTGGAAGAATTTGACCTTGAAAAGGGTAACGTAGCATGATGATCAGGTCGTCGGGTCAACGGCGATTCCGGTAAAGGTAACGGAAGCGGTTGAGAAACAACCGGAGAAGAAGACCAACGGTAAGAACTAGAACGACGAGGAGAAGCCGGTAACGAAATAGTAACAGCCACCGTTGAATGAAAGGTTTCAGCTTCTTGATCGTTAGGATAACACAACATCCTCTGTCTAGTATGTCTACGCTGCTGAAGCGATTGATTCGGAGCTGAAGGTTTGTTAGTAGTAGGATTCATTGATGAATGATTCATGTGATGTGAGAGAGAGAACAAGTGTATTTATTAGCACTATTTGATAGAGTATGTTTTGCCATGAAATTGGAGAGCAAGACACCCTGAAGGAAACAAACACCAATTTTTCAATTCAAACTATTTTTCTTGTGGGTTGAATGAAGAATATGTTTTCCTTTGTGTTTACAGGGTCAAAATGTATTAACTATGACTTTAAGATTAAATTCCAGATGTAATGCTAATTCCATTTATCTCAATATATTAATAGGCCACTTAAACCAAATTAACTTTTATCTATATTTTGAGAACTTGTTTACTGTTTTACCATCTATTTTCCTCTTTATTCTCACATTACACCAACCTATTCAAATAAAGGAGAGTGTTGTCTTTCTTTCTCTGTTGATACCTCAGGGTTACTGTAGTATGTTGCTCTAGTGAGCTCTATCTCCTTTCTTTGTTCTTCTATAGATGCAATGTTTTACATGGTCTCGATGGTTTTTATAACAACAACACTATGATATAAAGTTTTCATCTAAAGTTATGATTAATATGATCAAGTTGTTATGTTTGTGAAATCAAGATGTCAAAGTCAATCTTTTAAAGACAACATCTAATGTCAAGCAACGTTTAGTGGAATCCCTTATAGTCTCTGGTCAATCAATTTATGATGATGGTGTCTATCAAGAAGTCTAATCAAGCCTCATCATAAAGAAAAAGGTTAAGTCACAAATAAAGTGTTAAATCAATAATGAATCAAGAAAGAGATATTGAAGCTTCAAAGATAGTGAAAGAGAGGAAGTGTGAAAGTTTGCCTGATTTGTGTCCGAGTGATTAGTATCTTGTAAAGGTATTAGAGTAATTATCAAATTACTAAGGGAATGAACATGTTCATCTAAAAATATTTTAACCTTTATAAATTTGCTAAAACACCTTAAAAATCTTAAAGGAATCATCAAGGTACTTATGGGATTCATCGAAGATGTTCATAGACATTTAAGAAGCTTGTATACATTGTCAAATCTATTAAAGTCCTTAGCTATTTGATTAGAGCAAGGTATAAAACTTTTTAACCGATTAAAAACACTCTTAATGGATTAAGGCACAAGTCATTGTAAGTTTTCATTATTTGGAATTAGGGTTGTCGTCTTTTTGAAACTCTTAATCGATTAATCCGATGATGTAATAGATTATGGCATTTATAGGCCCATGAATTATTTTCCTTTTCGAGCCAATTTTTTTAACCTATAAATAAAGGATTTCTCCTCAATTTCAAAACACAGTAGAAAACATGTTTTATTCACTATTTACTCTTTCCTTTCTCATTTCATTCATTTTAACTGAATTACCTTAGTGATTTGAGAGTGGAAAATATCAGCGAGATATTTCTTGTGTTCTGGTGTTTGAGGTATTTTTATAATTTATCCAAGAGGAATTCATCTCTTATGTAAAATCTCTTGTGAGAAATTGTTTAATTTGTAAGCTTAGACAATAAAAACTCTTGTTTAGTTCGTGAGATTGTCCGACAATCTGTGATTGGTTTGTGAGATTCGTCAAATGTAAAGTTCTCATTTGGTTCATGAGAATGTTTGCCAAAATATATGTTTGGTTCATGAGTTTCGCTCGGTGTAATAACTCTCATTTGGTACGTGAAATTGTCCGTAAAAATCTTTGTTTGGTTCGTGAGCTTAGCCTGATGTAAAATCTCTCACTTAGTTCCAAGAGTAGTTTGGTGTAAAATCTTGTGTTTGGTTTGAAGGATAGCCAATGTAAGACTACAGTTTGATTGTTAGAAGGTTTTTCGGCATAACATGTGAAAAACTCACATCTATAGTGGAAACTCTTAAGAAGAAATTCTTGGAGAAAGGAGTAAGTCAAATGGTTAGGTCAAACCTCTATAAATCTCTGGTTCAATTATTTCAACCCTTAGCTCTTTATATTTTCGCTATTTATTTCCGTTGTACATAAATCTTTTCTTTACTATAATCTCGTCTTCTTTACTTATTCCTCTGCCTACTCTTTGCTTGATTTACAAAATTGTTTCAAACAATTTATTTTATCAATATTTTTTAATTTGACATTGTTTTTCAAACCTATACAATTCACTCCCTCTTGTGTTTGGAGTCACTTGTCCAACACCTCTAGCATGATATAATAAATGGATTATTTCTCATTTCTTCAAGAGAGTGAGATCTATCATAAAGGAAGGTCTTTTATCATTGATGTTTGTGAAGTTCTTGAAGTACATGTCAAGATTAGGATTGTGTGGTGTTGCTAAAAATTGAAAGTCTAGTAGAAGCAAAGGAAAAGGCAAAATACCCTTTTTGGTCCCTTAACTATACCCTTAGGTTCAAATTGGTCCCTTAATTATTTTTTGTGTCAGATTGACCCCTTAACTCTTTAAAGCGTATCATGTTAGTCCTTTTCGTCTAATTAGCGACCAAAAAATTCAAAATTCGATCTCTAAATTTGTCGCTAATTAGACAAAAAGAACCAACATGACACGTTTTAAAGAGTTAAGGGACCAATCTGACACAAAAAATAATTAAGGGACCAACCTGAATCCAAAGGTATAATTAAGAGACCAAAATAGGTATTTTGCCCAAGAAAAATGATTTCTTCTCCATCATAGAGTTCGATAGTGCCAAGGGGAGGTAGCTGTATAAAAGAGTTGGAGTTTATGTCCCGTCAGATTGAATCAAGAGCTCAGATAAGGGACCTGTAAGGTCAATTAAAGATCACTACAGAATGAATGCTTATAACATATCTTGGATTTGAGTTATGATTAATACTGAGTGAAGGTCTTGGAAATTTAATTGAAGTGGGTTGTGTACAACAAAATAACAAAAGATTTAGAGTGAAGATGTTATTTCGTCTTTAATTTCAGCATCTGATTCTTTGTTTGTATAAAATGCATGCTACATAATTGTCAAAATAATGGAAGACTACGAATTTTTAATGGCTTGCCATTGGAGACTAGATTAGGTGTAAAACGAGGAAAAATGTGTTGAACCAATATAAATTATGGTACGATTTTTTCTTTCCATACCTCATTTTAATTTTCAAATAGAATTGCATGATTAGTTTTTTTACCGTTTTTCTTAAAAATCACATGTTTTAGGTTTATTTCGTTCACATTGATTTGTTGTGTAAAGTGTAGATCTGGTAGTGATTAAGTCATCCAAATTATCTCTCTTGCAATTAAATTTGTTTGTAACTGTAATGTTAGATTGATTCAGTTAATCAATGAAATTTCCTTCAAATGCCTTATTTAAATTGTAGAGTGAAGACCCATTTTGGTCACTCACAAAAACTACAAAACTCAAATTAATCCCCGAGAAGAAAAAAAGATCATATTTAATCTCTTACAAAATTTAACCAGGCCATATTAATCCCTCTGTTAATATTTATGCCACATGCATCTATAATATAAGAAAAGTAATGCCTTTGGAAAGTCCACATTTTTCTTCACTCCTTCTCCTGACACGCGTCCAATTGAGGGACTTTTAATGTCCAAAATTTACTTTTTCCAACTAAGTTAGAATCTGGTTTTGTTTTAACCTTTGGTTGAGAATGAATGTACCAAATTGCCCCCATTTTTTATGGTTCCAATTGTACACATATGTGTATTGTTTTTAACAATTCTTTTGTCTATTCAACTTGCTGGTTTCAAATTTCGCTTTTTTCAACACAACCTTCCTTACCTTTTCACTTACCCACACCAACCTATCAGCACCATACATTCTTCTCCTCCTTCCACTTTTTGACTTCTTTTCCTCTATCTTCTCTGCAAACTCATTTCTATGCAAATTATTTTATTTTATTTTTTTCATTTTTCACTTTCTTTTTCTCCATCTTCTAATCTTCTCTGCAAACTTCATTTCTTTGCAAACCCTTTTTTTCTCTTCCTTATTCATCTTTCATTCTTCTCTGCAAACCCTTTTTTTCTTCAAACACACCATACTCATATGATGTCTCACTTCTCATACTTTCTTCACCATTGTGTATATTTCTTCTTCTTACACCCTAATTTTGACCCTGAATCATTAGGCCACATATCATAGCATTTTCATCATTTGTGCATCATATCCATCATTCAGGTCATCTAACCATTATGCTTACGAAAATGCGTGTCTTTCTGCTCTTTGTTAAGCTCAGGTCTTGCAAGATTAAATCAGGAATTAGGCAAAGTTATCAAGTCAAGTCCGTGTGCAGTCTTGGTTGATATTCAACGGATGTTTGACCTAATCTTGGTCAAACAAATGTTTTGCTTCAGTACCAGGTTATCAGGGTGTGGAAAAGATTCTAAATCAGGGTTTTGACCCTCAGTAAGTCATTGTTGCATCAGTGTGCACTCCAGGCAAAGATTAGGGTTTCTCAACCTTTGTGTTTAAGATGAGCAAGTGTCGTTCAGTTGAGTTTCATTCAAGGTTAGCAGGTTCAATATATGTACAATACCCTTTCAGGCCAAGTGTGTATGCGGTGTGATTTGAAATTCGAGAGGAACATGAATTAGTCTTGATTAAACGGTTGTTTTGTATCAAGTTATCGGGTCGTGGCAAGGGCAGTTTGTTGTGAAGTGGATAATCATCTGGGCTAGTTGAATCTCAATTAGGTTTTTGGTAAAGTGGCAGCACAGTTCATGTCTCGAGTCATCTGTGTCGGTGGCTACTTTGAGAACATGTATGGATTTAATTCAAGCATTTATGTGTGAAGGTCCATATTAGAGTTTTGTGTGAAGGTTCGAGTTATTTGATGAAGTCAAGCTGTAAGAGCCATTTAAAGTCAAGACATTTAGTCAGTTACTTCAAGTATTGATTATGTGGTTCAGGCTTTCTTTTCAAAGGAAGATTCGAGCTTTTTGTCTAACTCAAGATCATTGCAAGATGGAATTAGGATGTAGGGTTTATTTTCTTATGGTATCGATTCAAGGTTTTCAAATTTCATGCCTTTTTCAAATACACATCCATGTTACAAATTCAATTCTAAATTCAAATCCTCAGTTTAAA